CTGGTGAGTGGGAGAGGCTCCTGAAGGCTGGAAGAGACTCGCCCCGCTCCTCTGTTCAAGAAGGTGAAGAAGGAAGGGTTTAGGAAACCAGAGGCTGGTTGTCCTGACTTCAGTCGCTGGGAAGGTTCTAAAGGAAATTGTCCCAGAAAGCGTTGTTGAGCAGACGAAGAACCAGAATGTGATGGGCAGTAGTCAGCAAGGATTTACATAGGGAAAGTCACACGGAACCTCCTCAGCGTCTTCTACGTTGAAGTGACCAGCTTGGTGGATGAGGAAAAAGCAGTGGCTGATGCTCAACTTTAGTAAAGCCTGTATGTAGTAAGGGCTTTCTTTGGCACTTGCTCCCATGACACGCTCATAGAAAAGCAAACAAAGTATGGGTTGGATAAAGGTACGCTGAGGTGGGCTGAAAGGTGGCCGATTGCTTGGGTGCAGAGGCTTGTTCTGAATGGCACAGAGCGATGTTGGAGGCATGGCCCTAGCGGTGTGGGCCAGGACTCAGCAGTGAGGCCAGCACTGTTCCATATCCTCATTAGTGCGCTGGGGTGATGGGATGGAGTGGACCCCACAGGAAGTCTGAAGATGACCCAAGACAGGGAGGAGCGACTGATGCACGTGATGAACGTGGCACCATTCAGAATGATGTGCAGAGGCTGGAGAACTGGGCAGAGAGGAACATCATGAAGTTGCAGAAGGGGCGAAGCAATTTGCTGCCTGTGGGGAGGACTAACGCCAGGCAGCAGGACATGGTGTTATCCGACAGAGGGGCAGGCACCTTTACCGAGCAGGACCTTGTGTTGCTTTTGGAGAGCAAGCTGACGGTGAGTCAGCAATGCAGCCTTGCAGCAAAAGAGGCCACCAGGCTCCAGGAGGGCATGGGGAAGAGCGTTGCCAGCAAATTGAGGAAGGCGCTCCGTCATCTCTCCTCAGCACCGGTGAGGCCCCTTGTGGAGTCACACCACATGAGTGACACGCACACGAGTGACACGCCATGACCTCACTTCATGACACCCCACCTCTCCCATGCTTTGGCCGCATCTGCCGACTGCCCTCAAATGCACTCTCCATGCAAATCCACCCAAAGAGCCACTCTCAAAAGCTGCCGCCATGGTCACAGAGACACATCCTCAACAGGAGAAAAGGACACCAGAGCGTTGTGGGAACGACAACACACCCCACCTCATTACTTGCCAGGGTTTGGCATGTAAGAGCAGCTCACGCAAAATGCTGTCATGCGCAAAGGGTTTCTTGCCCCAAAGGCACTCAAAGACCAGCATAAAAGCTGTCCCTGCGCGTAGCACCCTCACACACTCCTCCAGTGGCCTTCTCCCTTGCGACCAACAAGGTGAGCCTGAACCCCACTCCCATCCTTTGCCCAACCGACCAGCCTTATGACCCCACGCGGCTGCTCGCCCCAGCCTCAGCATCCTTTCTGCCTCCCCAAAGCCATGCTCCCCACTACCCCAGGCCTCCCCACTCCCTTGGCCTCCCCCACCACCGCTCCACACACCCACAACTCCCTCCACCTTCCCAACACCCTCTCTTCCAGGCACCATCCACACCACAGACATGTCCTGCTACGACATCTGCCGCCCCTGCGGACCCACCCCGCTGGCTAACAGCTGCAACGAGCCCTGTGTCAGGCAGTGCGAGGACTCCCGCGTCGTCATCCAGCCTCCTGCCGTGCTGGTCACCCTGCCAGGACCCATCCTCAGCTCCTTCCCCCAGAACACCGCCGTTGGATCCTCCGCATCAGCTGCCGTGGGCAGCAACCTCAGCGCCCAGGGAGTGCCTGTCTCTGGAGGCGGCTTCGGAGGCTTTGGCCTGGGAGGCTTTGGCCTTGGAGGCTATGGCTTGGGAGGCCTGGGCTGCTTCTCTGGCAGAAGAGCCTGCTACCCCTGCTAAGGACCCACGCCAACACCCCTGACAGAAGCCTCCGATGCCACGCAAGACAGCTCTTGGCCTGAAGACTCTCCTCAGTGCTATTCATGGCGCACACTCTGACCAGCCGAGGCTCATCATTCTATGACACAACAAAGCAAACAAGCATGGAAGGAGCCAGCTCATGCTGTCAAGAAACACGGCCAACATACCACCTTCTTTCTTCCTCTTTCTCCTTTCCATAGCACCACCACCTACGGCCGCTACTCTCTGCTGCTATGACTGGTTCATAAGCCAAATGACACCATGGATTGAGAACCTCTCTGCTACTCTCCTCATTAGGACAGGATGTTCTCAGTTTTCTTCGGAAATGTGCTGTAGACAAGGGAGAGCCGCTGGTGGTCACTCTAATAGCACCTCAGAATCCGGTGCTTTTATTTTTGCTCCTTCCTTTTATTTTTTTCTTCCCCCCCAATAAAATCTATCTGCATCCTATCCTGACATTCGTCCTCTTCGTTTTTTCAACCCAAAGCTCTTTCCAGTTCACCTACTACTAACACTTTGCTCAAGAGGCCAGTGGGTGGGGTTGTAAAGGCCCACTGAACCTCCCTTCTCAAGGATGTCATCACCAACAACACAGGTGGGCACCAGCTGGTTTTCCAGCCCATCATCAATACATATGGATGACCACACTAAGGGTTGGGCACATGTCATGGAATTAGATTTCACACTGCTTTAATAGAGCAGCAATTTAGGATTTATTTTATATTTTGAGGTATAGATGGTATGATTTTTAACAGCTCTTAATCAACTTTTGATCATCTGAGAATTTAACAGAATTATTTTAATGGGATTTTCTACAATAGAAACAGTGGCAAAGTTCAGCTGCGACTTACTGCAGGGTTCTTGGGGGTATTTAAATTCAGTCACGCACTTCCAAAATACCCCCTGGAGTGAATTACTCAAACTAATTCCTTGTTGGTGTTTGTCTGCAGCTGACTCCTCGAGGAGTCAGCCCTGAGATGAACTTTCCCTCAGGGGTATGCTGTGAGGTGTCCCAGCTCAGGTAGAGATTGAGTTTTCAATGCCTAGAGAGCTCACTGGGTTCTTTGCTTAGGACTACTATTTATAGGACCACAAGATGATTGACTGTTATTTGCCATCCTGGCTACAGTTCAGATAAGGCAATTTTGGTATTTTACACCAACATTGCAATTCTGGTACAGGCCTGGAGCCTCTTCAATATGAAGAGAAGGTGAGAGAGCTGGGCATTTTCAACCCGCAGAGAAGGCTGCTCAGGCTGAATCTCCTCCTTGTTCTAAATCCCGGATGGGCGGCTACAAAGACAAGGGAACCAGACTAAATTCAGTTACTGCCTGCTACCAGGACAAAGATGAGTGGACGCCACAGAGAAGCAATTGCCTTGGAAGAGAGGGAACCCCTTTTTCCCTGTGAGAGTGGTCAAGCAGTGGACCTCAAGCAGTGGTTTTGCATTTCCATCGTTTTTATTATGAGAAACCCAGTAACTGCACATGGTCCTGGACAGCCTGCTGTAGCTGACTATGCTCGAGCAGGGTGCTGGCAGTATAAGGTCTCCAGAGGTTACTTCCAAACGGAAGGGATTCTGTGGCTGCATCTGTTGTCAATGCAGGAGAATGCTGCTGGGTGAGAAAGCAGTCAAGTGTGTGCTGACACAGAGAGATTGTTTCAGAGGGCACGTGCAGCAGAGCCTATGCGTGCCCAAGCCTTTGTTTGGTCAAGTGTAGGTCTTCTATGATGTACTGCAAGGTGTGGTGTCCCTTTTTGACTTGCCCCGATGATGTCTTCAGCTTTGGCTTTGTCGTGAGGGAAGTGGGAAGGGCTGTGGGAGAAGAAGGGAAGAGGAGGAGCGTCACGCCAGCATGCTTGAGACCTTTATTGAGGAAAGCACATGGAAAGGAAGGAGCAGCAAGTGGAACATCCCTGGGGGGTCTTGGATGCATGTAGGTAGACCAACAACGTCATCCTTGTGCACGGAATATTTTCCCGGAGCACGGAGGTCTTCCTGCCCTGTGATGGGAGCAGCAGAGAGGGAGTCCATCCCTGGTGGTGTTTGGCTTGTGAGCCCGTAATAGCAGCAGAGAGAACTGGACACAGGAGACAGTGCAATTCAAGGAAAGAAGTGGGAGAATGGTAGAATGTAAGTGAGCCATGTTTCCAAACATCGTGGAATAGTCCACGTCCTTGCTTCTCTGGTTCATGCCTTGAGAGAAATAGCCGTGCTTGTGGAGCTAATGACCCAGTGGGTCAGGGACGTCACAAAGGAGCATCTATAGTCCACGAGGAGTCTCGCACAATCCGTGTGATGTCTGTGTGAAGGACAACTCTGTTAAATAACACAGGCCTCAATTGCGACCCAGAGGACAACTCCTCCCCGGTGTCCACCTGGGCACCGAGCTGTTGAGCGCAGCTTTTGAGATGTGACCATGCAGGCAATTCCTATCTGCTGAGTGGCCCATCATGTCTTTCCATGGTAGTGAGAAGGAGCTATGTATGAGCGTAGTCCAAACACTTCTTGAACACCAAGCGGCTTGGGCCCTGATGGCCACTTGAGACCTGCTTTTTGTTCTTGTTGGGTGAAGTTGGAAGAGCGTTGGGAGAAGAAAGGAAGAGGAGGCATCTGAGAATATGGGATGCAGATTGATTTTATTGAGGAAAACGTGAAAGAGAGGGAGTGTCAAAGTGCACATTCTGAGGTGCCTGGATGGTGACCACCAGCCTATGTCCTTTGCGTAGAGCAGATTTTCCCAGAGCCCCAAGGTCTCCCTACTCCGTGGTAGGAGCAGCCCCAGAAGGTTTCCCGAGGGATTGTGCTAGCGAGCAAGGCATTGCAGCAGAGAGTAGCGGCCGTAGGTGGTGGTGCTATGGAAAGGAGAAAGAGGAAGAAAGAAGGAGGTATGTTGGCCATGTTTCCTGACAGCATGGTCTGGCCCCTTCCTTCCTTGCTTGCTTTGTTGTGCCATGGAATGAGCTACAGCTGGTGAGCCCATGTGCCATGAGCGGCACAGAGGAGCATCCTCAGCCTGAGAGCTGGCTGGCACGGTGTTGGAGGCTGCTGTCAGGGGTGTTGGCGTGGGTCCTTAGCAGGGGTAGCAGGCTCTTCCGCCAGAGATGCAGCCCAGGCCTCCGAAGCCAAAGCCTCCCAGGCCAAAGCCTCCGAAGCCGCCTCCAGAGATGGGCACTCCCTGGGCGCTGAGGTTGCTGCCCACGGCAGCTGATGCGGAGGATCCAACGGCGGTGTTCTGGGGGAAGGAGCTGAGGATGGGTCCTGGCAGGGTGACCAGCACGGCAGGAGGCTGGATGACGACGCGGGAGTCCTCGCACTGCCTGACACAGGGCTCGTTGCAGCTGTTAGCCAGAGGGGTGGGTCCGCAGGGGTTGCAGATGTCGTAGCAGGACATGTCTGTGTTGTGGAGGGTGCCTGGAAGAGAGGGTGTTGTGAAGGCGGAGGGTATTGGGGTTGTGTGGAGCGGTGGTGGGGGAGGCCAAGAGAGCGGGGAGGCCCAGGGTTGTGGGGAGCATGGCTTTGGGGAGGCGGAAAGACTGTTGAGGCTGGGGCGAGACGGGAGGTAGCAAGATAAGGCTGGTCAGGTGGGCGAAGAATGCGAGTGGGGTTCAGGCTCACCTTGTTGGTCGCAGGAGAGAAGGCGTCGGGAGGAGTGTGTGAGGGTGCTACGCGCAGGGACTGCTTTTATGCTGGTCCTTGAGTGCCTTTGGGGCAAGAAACCCTTTGCGCATGACAGCATTTAGTATGAGCTGCTCTTACATGCCTAATCCTGGCAAGTAATGAGGTGGGGTGTGTTGTCGTTCCCACAACGCTCTGGTGTCCTTTTCTCCTGTTGAGGATGTGTCTTTGTGGCCGTGGCGGCAGCTTTTTAGTGAGAGTGGCTCTTTGGGTGGATCTGCATGGAGCGTGTGTTTGAGGGCAGTTGGCAGACACGGCCAAAGCATGGGAGAGGTGGGGTGTCATCAAGTGAGGTCATGGCGTGTCACTCGTGCGGTGCTGTTTGCGGCTGCATTGTTGTGGTTGGAAACTGTCTTGGGCAGAGTGACCATGAAATGCTGGATGTCTCTATTCTTGGAGAAAGAAGAAGGAGACCAGTAAAACCACCGTATTGGACATCTGGAGGACCGACTTTGAACTTTTCAGGACACTGGTTGGTAGAGTCCCTTGGGAGGCGGTTCTGAAGGGCAGAGGAGTCCAGGAAGGGTGGGCGCTCTTCAAGAAGGAAATCTTAATGGCGCAGGAGCAGTCTGTCCCCAACGTGCCCAAAGATGAGCCGGCGGGGAAGAAGACAGGCCTGGCTGAAAAGTGAATTGTGGCTTGAGTTTAGGAGGAAAAAGAGGGATTACAATCTTTGGAAAGGAGGGCGGGCCACTCGGGAGGACTATAAGGATGTTGCGAGGCAGTGCAGGGACAAAATTAGAAAGGGCAAAGCTCATCTGGAGCTCAATCTGGCTACTGCCATCAAAGACAACAAAAGATGTTTCTAGAAATACATTAATGCAAAACGGAGGACTAAGGAGAACCTCCAGCCTTTGCTGGATGCCCGGGGAACTTAGTTACAAAAGATGAGGAAAAGGTGGAGGTGCTTAATGCCTTCTTTGCCGCAGTCTTTAGTGGCAAAGCCAGTTGCTCTCTGGATACCCAGTACTCTGAGTTGGTGGAAGCGGACGGGAAACAGAATGTGGCCTTTACTATCCATGAGGAAAAGTTGGCGACATTCTACGGCACTTGGATGTATGCAAGTCGATGGGGCCAGATGGCATCCACCCGAGGATACTGAGAGAACTGGCGGAGGAGCTGGCCAGGCCGCTTACCATCATTTATCAACAGTCCTGGCTATCATGGGAGCTACCAGTCGAGTGGTGGCTAGCAAACGTGAGGCCAACTACAAGAAGGGACAGGGGGTAGACCCAGGACACTCTAGGCCTGTCAGTTTGACCTCAGTGCCAGGGAAGCTCATGGAGCAGATTATCTTGAGTGTCACCACGCGGCACTTACAGGGCAACCAGGTGATCAGGCCCGGTCAGCATGGGTTTATGGAAGGCAGGTCCTGCTTGACGAACCTGATCTCCTTCTATGGCAAAGTGACGCGCTGGGTGGATGAGGGAAAGGCTGTGGATGTGGTCTACCTTGACTTCAGCAAGGCTTTTGACACCGTTTCCCACAACATTCTCCTCAAGAAACTGTCTAATCGTAGCTTGGACTGGCGCATGCTTCGTTGAGTTAAAAACTGTCTGGATAGCCGGGCCCAAAGAGTCGTGGTAAATGGAGTCAAGTCCAGTTGGAGGCCAGTCACTATTGGCGTCCCCTAGGGCTCGGTGCTGGGGCCGGTCCTCTTTAACATCTTCATCAATGATCTGGACGATGGCATTGAGTGTACCCTCAGTAAGTTCGCAGATGACACCAATTTAGGTGCGTGTGTTGATCTGCTTGAGGGTAGGAAGGCTCTGCAGGAGAATCTGGATAGGCTGCACCGGTGGGCTGAGGTCAACTCTACGAGGTTCAACAAGGCCAAGTGCCGGGTCCTGCACCTGGGGCACAACAACCCCAAGCAGAGCTACAGGCTGGGACATGAGTGGTTGGACAGCTGCCAGGCGGAGAAGGACCTGGGAGTATTGGTTGATAGTCGGCTGAATATGAGCCAGCAGTGTGCTCAGGTGGCCAAGAAGGCCAACAGCGTCCTGGCTTGTATAAGAAACAGTGTGGCCAGCAGGTCTAGGGAAGTGTTTGTCCCCCTGTACTTGGCTCTGGTGAGGGTGCACCTCGAGAACTGTGTTCAGTTTTGGGCCCCACGCTACAAGAAGGACATGGAGGTGCTCGAGTGTGTCCAGAGAAGGGCAACGAATCTGGTGAGGCGTCTGGAGAACAAGTCCAACGAGGAGCGGCTGAATAAGCTGGGTTTGTTAAGCCTGGAGAAAAGGAGACTCAGAGGCGACCTTATCACTCTTTATAAATACATTAAAGCAGGCTGTAGCGAGGTGGGGGTTGGTCTATTCTCCCACGTGCCTGGTGACAGAACAAGGGGGAACGGGCTAAAGTTGCCCACCAGAGGTGTTTTAGGTTGGATATTAGGAAGAACTTCTTTACTGTGAGTGTTGTGAAGCATTGGAATGGGCTGCCCAGGGAAGTGGTGGAGTCACCGTCCCTGGAGGTTAAAAGACGTTTAGATGTTGAACTTAGCGATATGGTGTAGTGGAGGACTTACAATAAGGTCAGAGGTAGGACTAGGTGGTCTTGAGATCTCTTCCAACCTAGACAATTCTGTGATTCTGTGAGTGTCGCCCCATACTTGTGGTGGCTGTGTGAGGGAGAACTCTGTTAAATAATACTGGCCTCAGTAGAGACCCCAGAGGGACACCACTCCTCCCTGGTGTCCACCTGTGTACCAAGCTGTTGAGCGCAACTCTTGAGATGTGACCATGCACGCAATTCCTTATCTTCTGAGTGGCCCATCATGTCTTTCCATGGTAGTGAGAAGGAGCTATGTAAGAACGTTGTCCAAACACTTCTTGAACACCAAGAGGCTTGGGCCCTGATGGCCACTTGAGACCTGCTTTTTGTTCTTTTTGTTGGGTGAAGTTGGAAGAGCGTTGGGAGAAGAAAGGAAGAGGAGGCATCTGAGGATATGGGATGCAGATAGATTTTATTTAGGAAAACATGAAACAGAGGGAGCGTCAAGGTGCATATTCTGAGGTGCCTGGAGGGCGACCACCAGCCTATGTCCCTTGCGTAGAGCAGATTTTCCCAGAGACCCAAGGTCTCCCTACTCCGTGGTAGGAGCAGCCCCAGAAGGTTTCCCAAGGGATTGTGCTAGTGAGCAAGGCATTGCAGCAGAGAGTAGCGGCCGTAGGTGGTGGTGCTATGGAAAGGAGAAAGAACAAGAAAGAAGGAGGTATGTTGGCCATGTTTCCTGACAGCATGGTCTGGCCCCTTCCTTCCTTGCTTGCTTTGTTGTGCCATGGAAGGATGAACCGCAACTGGTGAGCCCATGTGCCATGAGCGGCACAGAGGAGCATCCTCAGCCTGAGAGCTGGCTGGCACGGTGTTGGAGGCTGCTGTCAGGGGTGTTGGCCTGGGTCCTTAGCAGGGGTAGCAGGCTCTTCCGCCGTTGATGCAGCCCAGGCCTCCGAAGCCAAAGCCTCCAAGGCCAAAGCCTCCGAAGCCGCCTCCAGAGACGGGCACTCCCTGGGCGCTGAGGTTGCTGCCCACGGCAGCTGATGCGGAGGATCCAACGGCGGTGTTCTGGGGGAAGGAGCTGAGGATGGGTCCTGGCAGGGTGACCAGCACGGCAGGAGGCTGGATGACGACGCGGGAGTCCTCGCACTGCCTGACACAGGGCTCGTTGCAGCTGTTAGCCAGCGGGGTGGGTCCGCAGGGGCGGCAGATGTCGTAGCAGGACATGTCTGTGTTGTGGAGGGTGCCTGGAAGAGAGGGTGTTGTGAAGGCGGAGGGTATTGGGGTTGTGTGGAGCGGTGGTGGGGGAGGCCAAGAGAGCGGGGAGGCCCAGGGTTGTGGGGAGCATGGCTTTGGGGAGGCGGAAAGACTGCTGAGGGTGGGGCGAGACGGGAGGTAGCAAGATAAGGCTGGTCAGGTGGGCGAAGAATGCGAGTGGGGTTCAGGCTCACCTTGTTGGTCACAAGAGAGAAGGCGTCGGGAGGAGTGTGTGAGGGTGCTACGCGCAGGGCCGGCTTTTATGCTGGTCCTTGAGTGCCTTTGGGGCAAGAAACTCTTTGCGCATGACAGCATTTAGTATGAGCTGCTCTTACATGCCTAATCCTGGCAAGTAATGAGGTGGGGTGTGTTGTCGTTCCCACAACGCTCTGGTGTCCTTTTCTCCTGTTGAGGATGTGTCTTTGTGGCCGTGGCGGCAGCTTTTTAGTGAGAGTGGCTCTTTGGATGGATCTGCATGGAGCGTGTGTTTGAGGGCAGTCGGCAGACACGGCCAAAGCATGGGAGAGGTGGGGTGTCATGAAGTGAGGTCATGGCGTGTCACTCGTGCGGTGCTGTTTGCGGCTGCATTGTTGTGGTTGGAAACTGTCTTGGGCAGAGTGACCATGAAATGCTGGATGTCTCTATTCTTGGAGAAAGAAGAAGGAGACCAGTAAAACCACCGTATTGGACATCTGGAGGACCGACTTTGAACTTTTCAGGACACTGGTTGGTAGAGTCCCTTGGGAGGCGGTTCTGAAGGGCAGAGGAGTCCAGGAAGGGTGGGCGCTCTTCAAGAAGGAAATCTTAATGGCGCAGGAGCAGTCTGTCCCCAACGTGCCCAAAGATGAGCCGGCGGGGAAGAAGACAGGCCTGGCTGAAAAGTGAATTGTGGCTTGAGTTTAGGAGGAAAAAGAGGGATTACAATCTTTGGAAAGGAGGGCGGGCCACTCGGGAGGACTATAAGGATGTTGCGAGGCAGTGCAGGGACAAAATTAGAAAGGGCAAAGCTCATCTGGAGCTCAATCTGGCTACTGCCATCAAAGACAACAAAAGATGTTTCTAGAAATACATTAATGCAAAACGGAGGACTAAGGAGAACCTCCAGCCTTTGCTGGATGCCCGGGGAACTTAGTTACAAAAGATGAGGAAAAGGTGGAGGTGCTTAATGCCTTCTTTGCCGCAGTCTTTAGTGGCAAAGCCAGTTGCTCTCTGGATACCCAGTACTCTGAGTTGGTGGAAGCGGACGGGAAACAGAATGTGGCCTTTACTATCCATGAGGAAAAGTTGGCGACATTCTACGGCACTTGG